TAGCTTATTGAATAAATTGTTGGCCTTGAGGTAGGCTTCTTGTGTCTTTAAGTAGATCAAGTCATTGTACTGAATTTGTTATCTTTCAGCAGTAAATTGTTGAAATAATCAAATTATAAATCAGAAAACTGCATTTAGTCAATAATAACTATCGTCCATTCCAGAGATTTTGACTAAATGCATTTCTGATCTGTAATATGTCGTTTGTCATATAAAAATACACAAGCCAGTACGTGAAACATTTACGCAGGTATCTATCATGCCATTTGTATGGATTCTGTTTGTCGTTTGTTCCATACGGACCTTGTGTTCTTGCTGCTTATCAGAACGTTTTCCTCATATACATTGTCCTTTTATTTGTCCATTTTGAAGGCTCGAAATGCAGACATGCTTTCCCGCAGACGAGAGCGAGAGTTAAACTCTGGAGAGAATTCTCCTACCAGTCAAATTAAATAACGGGTATACTTCGTGTAATTACACGATGCTAATAAGATTAATGCGTTACCCCCCCAAAAAAAAAGCAGATGAACAAGACTGTTGTACTTGTACTCACCCCAGCACGCTCTGGTAAATATAGAGACGAACAGTAACAATGCGCATCTCCCTTCCGATGCCATATTCAATATATGTTTTGCACCAGGAAATTAAACATCTAACATCGAGAGCTAGGTTCACATGTGTTGTTCTTTCTTAGTTAGAATAAAACAAACGCTCTTGGTGATGTTTCACTTTCTTTCTAGCTTGATTTATATCATACGAAAGGTAACTGGCCCTGAACTGAAAGTGTAACCGCAATGAATTATTATTCGACATAAATTTTTCTGCATCTTTGTACTTTTCTTCAGTGTAGCCTTTGAAAACTCGTACACACTACTATTTGGTCAAATGCATTGAAAAATGCACAGTTTGTCAAAATTATCCGTGCTTTCCTGGACAAGTGGGGGCGCTGTCGATGTGAAGTCATGTAGGGAAGACATGATTCAGTGCATAGGCATCTGTTCAAACTAAACCCAAAATTTACTAACTGAAAACATTTCTGAGAGAGGGATTGATGGTTTATTATTATTATGCACACAAACAACAATGAATCCGCGAAGAAGAGAAAACTTGCTTCAGAAAATTCTACTAAAACGCAGGCCTTTTTTGTGTACAAACCAGTTAAATTTAACATTGATGCTTCTTCTTGAGATGGCATGACAGTTTGCTCATGATATGGAAATGCTCATTAGTAAAAACAAAAAGGGAATTAAAATAACCTTTGAAATGGTAAAACTAAAGTTGAAAATAAGGTTTACTGAGGCACAGGAGTACAGGTTTGTAATCAAAAACATTGATTGCAGCTACCCTTTAAACTTCTTTCAAACACTTTGCTTATTCACACAGTTTTGCAACTCAATAAATCAATGACATACCGGCGTTTCGAAACAAAACCTTGCTGTTTAATATTTTAATCAAGTATT